CCCCCCTGGTTAAATCACCAGGGTGCTATATCTCAAAAACGTACTAAGTAAACTGGATCGGGTACTCTAAGTAAAAATGTTCAGAACCCCTAAAAACCTTACAAGAACTAAAGTTAGAACCTTATATCTAATATATACATATTATATATATAAAAAAAAAAATTCTAAAACCGCGCCATAACTCTAAATTTTAATACAGTAATAGGGGTGGTTAAATCACCCCTGGTTAAAAATAATTAAATTTTCGTTCAAATGCTTATAAAAAATGTGTTAATCACCTTTATATGGAAAGCGAAGACTAGTCAGAGAACTTACTAGTCATGACTAAGCATGGTGCAACGGTTGCCCAGGTTCAAGAGTTGGCTGTACTACATACATCATTATGCTTCAAATTTGTGGCTTAGGCTTGACATTGAGAATAAATTTACGTTACTAAAGCACCAAGATTCAAGTAATTATTAAATCGAAATGGCGACAACGGACATAGCTCATCTTCTTCAGCAAGAACAAGACTTCCAATTTTTAGCTTTCGATTCCACCATAGCACTTGAATTAGGTCTCCTAATTCTCAAAAACGCTCAACAAAAGGGGATTCCTGTAGTCATTTCTATTACTTTGAACACTCACCTTTTATTTCATTATTCCATGCCAGGAACTAGTCCTGCAGAAGTTGAATGGGTACGAAGAAAAAACAATGTTGTAAATCAATTTTATCATTCTTCTCTTTATGTTAGTGAATATTTGAAACAAAATAAGAAGCTTGGTGCTGAAACATATCTGGTTAGTGATAAAGACTTTGTAGCATATGGTGGTGCTTTTCCATTGATTGTTAAAGGTGTTGGTGTTGCTGGAACTATCACTGTCAGTGGATCATCTCATATCGAAGATCATGAGCTTGTAGTGTTGTCTCTGAAAGACTTTTTTGGAATGGAAAAAGAGGGAAAAAACAAAGTCGAATAATTCTATAGACGTTTATGTGTCCATAATACAAATATATTCTGTGCGATTAAGATGGTTCATAATATTAATTAGGCTCAAGTTTATATAGATGTTTTTATTTATAGTTTTACTCAAAATAATCAAATCATTTTATCCATCTAAAATGTATTCAATCATTTTTCCGTTCAAGCATATTAAAGCCTCGAGGGAATAGAATATATTAATTTATTAATAAGATTTGGGCGATATAAATAATAGATCTCGTGGTAGTTTAGTAAATAATAATCCTTAATACTTTAGTAGATTAAGACGTTAATTCAACTCCTTGATTTCTGCATTCATTATTTTCGCAAGTTCACGATTAGTTTTGATTATTGTAGGAAGCGACACAGATGAATTCGGTCGTGTCCATTCATCGGCCAATCTTTCTTCATGAAAAAAGATTTCAGCAACCTTGGCATCCACTTCTTTATTTGTATTTGCACCGATAATATTTAGAAATAAAGAATATTCGCCCGAAGCAAGTTGTACTTGGGATGTACCAAAGGTAAAATCCGGATTATTTTCTTTCGAATTCAAATAGCGCGCTCGGAATGTGTTTTTAAGAGATTCCGGCTTGATTTTTCCGTCAATTGCGCTAGCAATTAATTGATCAACTAAGTCTTTTTTTACCATCCAATTCTCACCTAGAGCAGTGTCCACATGACATAAGGACGCATCATGCTCGAGTTTTCCATGCTGATGGAGATCTTCTAATGATCTTCGAGTAAGGATAGATTAGTATTATGTGTATGATCGGGATGGGCTCGCTATACAACATGTTATTTTATTACCTTAAGTTACCAAATAAAGACAACCAAAAAATTCGGGGTTGCTTTTATTTATCAATAAAAACACTTTCTGCCAAAGCTATTTATAAATTATATGAACGAATAATCTAAAATCTGGAGTTGCTATTATTCGGGGTTGCTTCTAATTGGTAACATGCATGTATTACCGTATTGTCGTGAAATAACGCGCAGGGGTGAAATTACGAATTTCGGCCTAAATTAAGCTTAATTCGGGCCAAACCTCTAAATAACGCCCATGCCCGTTATTTCGCGACAATACGG